CGCGTCTACAGTGAGTCCTTTTGCGGAGAACGTATTTCTGCGATGCAGAATTTGCAAGGAAAACGACTGCAACTGCAACATCAAATCGTCAATTAATTCATAAAGTCAAATTGTAAGAAGTAATCATAAATTTATTAGATTTATTATATAAAATATTACATTAGCATCAAGTACAATACATATTCAAAAATAAAGTGTATAAATTAAATTAAATTTTTTTTATTACCTCGCTCTTGATTTTTTTATCGCCGGCAATGTTAAGCACGTCATGGACAGTAGTGCCAATCTGCAGAGCCTGATCCTTTCCGGTCTCACAAGCCCACACCATCAACGATATTTTTATAAAATAATACGTTATGGACATCGTCAAAAACGTGGTATAGATATTATCGTCCACGTTGATCATGGATATGTTGCTTTGCCAATACAATATATGAAAGTAGAGTTGGAACGTAATTTCGCCAAAAGTTATAATTATACTAATGAGGAGCTGCAAACTGAAAACCATGTTCAACATCTGCACTGTGTTACTAATAGTCTGGTGCTGCTTTTTCAAGACCTTTAATTCGGCCAGTAACAATAGACTTCTTTGTTGATACATCTTGCCAAGATGATACACCTTATCATCCATCATGAACTCCCGCATGTGCTCCAGATTATCATTAATTCTTTTGAAACAAGCCTTTAGTACGCAAACACAATTCATATACAACATATCCATGTTAAATGTCAGCAGGCTAACGTATATTACGAAAATCTTGATTACAACATGAACATTTACGTATATAAGTAATTGCAATTCAATAAATACAAAGAAGGAGCCTACGATATCCTTAGTATGAATTAATCTGGATAGCTTCTGGTATGACTCTGAAGGCAATTTCGAAGAGATCTCCATTATAGTTTGGAGTAAACGCATTCGCGGACCACTCAAAATGTACGTGACAACCGCCATCAAACCACTGAGTATGTAGAAGCAATGACGCTCAAAAGTCCTGGGTACGCCTTTATATTTCATATTTCCACTAATGTCAATCATATAGAGAATGCTCAATAAGCAAATGAAGCAAACACAGATAACGACGGTTGAAAGAATGTAACGTCGTGTGGAACTTTCGATGACTAAAGCGTTGATTTTATACGGAAATAGTCCGAGAATGTTGCAAAAGATAATGATGGGATACATCAATGATTCAAAATCCGTGGCGTGGAACAATCGCCATCTTTTTCGCATTTTCCTATTGGCTCGTGTTTGTAACTTCGACGACGAGCTGAACATGATCACTGAAGTTCATGATTCATGAAGGTACAGCCTAAGAATTATTAATTATTTTATAAATGCACTTTATCATCAAGTATAACATGATTGTAAAAGTTACATTCTTGATGTGGCTTTAGACATTGTCTTTTTAAAACTAACGTTTATATTGGTATTGACTCATTGCTCCCGATCTACTTGCACTGAATTTAAATTTAAAACTGCGAGAGGTTTCCGCATCAAATGAAAATTTATAGTCGCTTGTTAGTTGCGAAGTAACCATGGTGCTCTTCGATCGAGACTTGTCACCATTGGAGCACAAAACATAAAAGAATGAGCAGGTAATTCATTTGTATAAAAGAATTATATGTAATTGTTGTGACATGTTAATCATGTGTTTGTACACGAAGCGAGAGATATAGACTGCATAGTATCCACGTGGCTCTTCGGATTCGTTAATAAAGACTGATCATTTTTAAATTTTACATTTTTATTTTGTAAATGAAATGGTCGACGTCTTTATATTACAACTCTTCGAGATTTAATCTTTTTGATTTTACATATACACGTATATACACAAATTGTATAATTAAAAATGCAAATATATTAATATCAATTTTTTACAAATTCGGTATTAGTTATTATCAGTATTTATTTTCCGAACTCAATTTACATAGGATAGTTATGAATTATAAATATTTTTCCATATTTATTAAAATATAATAAATTAATCTTTGTTTGTGTGTGTATAAAAATTGTACACACAAATATTAAATATTAAATTGTGCTATGTATGTTTTAAGAAACACTGATACTGTCGCAAAGAAAATATGAATAACAAACGTAATATTATGAAATAAAGCTATACTGCTAGGACTCTTATCTAGAATCTAGATTAAAATTAATCGATTTTGTTTCTTGACTGATGAAATTGTTACGGCATGATCTACTGGCCAGAAATTAATTTAGCAAGATCATTTTTATATTATAATAATGACAAAAAGATTGGATATGTGGTAAATCATGCAAATTTTGTTGTTGTGATAATGCTTGAAATCAAATATTATCTCAACAAAATTTCATGAATTTAGTGTTGATAAATAAAATTCGGAAAGCAAATATATCTTGAAGAAATTGTTTACGTAATTATACATTTTTATATATTGTTTGCACATTAGAAATCTTAATTTATATTAATTTATTAATATTTACATTGAGAGACTGATTTGTTTTAACATTTTATTGTAAGAGCAATGAAAAATGTTTTGTATTCAATTTATAAATTAAAATTATTTGTAAATGTGTTTATTATGTTTTATATACATAGCATATTTAAACAAATAAAATATATTAAGTTGATACCTAGATATTAAAATACAGTATGTTAAATACAATAAGTAGTATAAAATTATATATACTTTATACACTTATATATACACTTTGTATATATAAATTAAATGCACTAATGCTATAACATTACGTAACCATTTTTTATATACAGGGTGTCCGGTAATAACCGCCCAATATCTCGTAGGCTGGTAGAGCAGATTAAACTGAACAGAAAAGTCCTCTACCATTTTGCAAAATTCGCAATCGTTAACGAGATATTAATTTTTGAAGATCGGCGAATAAACGCGTATCCTTCCGCCTACTGCTGAATACAGGCGCGCGGCGAGATACGACCGCTCCATCGCTGGTAGTTGCTAGCCCAGCTAGCCGGTAGTTGACGAGCAGTGGGGCGGTCGTATCTCACCGCGTGCCTGCATTCAGCGGTATGGCGGATGGATACGCGTTTAA